GTGTGTGAGTACTGCCATGATAGCATGCTTACCATGAGGCTATATGCTTATGTGATATAACTGCCTAAATGCCTGTGGGTGAAGGTTGGGTAATTTGGATTGGAACAAATCATCAACTGTGAGTTTTAAGCCCACTAGATAGTGGCAAAACCATCTTTTCTAAGCCCACCCGAGGGTGGCAAAATCTGCATTTTAAGCCTACTTGCGAGTAGCAAACCATCTTTCAAAAGCAAACATGAAATGTTTTGTTCCAATTCAGGTGACCCGGTCTATACTTGTATTCTGTGCGCATCACATAGAAAAACTAGGCTAATAACCGGAATAAGAACGCACAATGTTTTCAAAAATAGATATCATGGTTAGTAGAGGCCGATCTTTGATCGGGTGAGCAGGGGTGCTCACGAAGTGACCTTCCCCAATCGTACCCAAGTTCCCGAGCCGAGGCAACTTTGGTGATGACGGACACGTGGCCTTTGGCACCGAGTTAGGGTTTCCTAAATTTCCCCAAAATAAAATATTTAGGTGGCGACTCTGTATCTGGCAAAGCAGTCCATGTTTGGCACTTCTTTCAAAATCTATTTTTTCTCAAAACGATTTGCCGGATTTGGACTCTTTGGTTTAGACTTAGAACCGTGACAATTTTAGAGTCCTGAGTTGTAGTGACCCCAAATGAACAGAACGGGACTCATCCTCCCGGGGCATTCGGGGACGTCTACAGGCGCGTACTTCATACGGCCCGAGATAAAACTAGGCCAGTGTCGCATTTCACACGTGCTAAGGTAAAACCGCTCAAGCACGTGCTTTGCACATCTAGAGATGAAACCCGCAAAGGGCCGCGTCTCACGAATCCTGAGATAAAACTGCAAGGGCACGTGCCTTGCACGTCCTGAGATGAAATCGGTCAGGCGTGTGCTTCACATGCCCAAGATGAAACCCGCGTAGGGCCATGTTTCATGTGTCTCGAGATAAAATCGCTCGGGCATGTGCTTCGTACGTCCCGAGATAAAACCTGCCCAGTGCCGCGTTTCACACATCATGAGGTATCAAAAGCAATACAAGATCAGACTAACAGTGGCGACCTAGATGGCCTTTTTGTACGTTTTGAATGAAGAAAGATTTTGTCCTTCAAATTTCAGTTGGATGAAGGTGAGGAACATCTGAGTGAGAATGGCAACGATGGCGTGGTGGGAAGTGGGTTATGGCTGGAGGTGGAGGTAGAGGTGGAGGTAGAGGTGGGGGTGGGAGAGGTAGAAGCTCCTCGAATTGACAAATAAGACGTTGATGTCGTTCTTGTTATTATTGCTCATGTCTTGGATTTAAGGCCCTATTAGGCTGATTATGTTCTGGAAAAGATGGATACGAATGAGTTAGAACACAGTGAGAAATATGCAAAATCGAGGGTATAGAATATTGAGATAAGAAAGAATGGAATGGAGTGGTTACGAGGCTACCAAGCCTTGACTTTCAATGCATGAGGCGTTTGTTGCTTTTATACTACGTTGCCAGGAGTTGGCTCAGTGATCCATCCAAGCGCTGATTAAGCCTCACCAAAACGAAGGGCTGATTAAGCCTCGCACGTCCTGAGATGAAACCTACCCGCGGCCTGAGATAAAATCACTCGGGTGCGTGCTTCTCACGTCCCGAGATAAAACCGCTTAGGTGCATGCTTCGTATGTCCCGAGATGAAACCTGCCCAGGGCCGCGTTTCACGCATCCGGAGATAAAATCACTCGGCGCGTGCTTCGAACGTCCCAAGATGAAACCTACCGAGGGCTGCATTTTACGCGTCATAAGAAAACAAAAGCTACAGAAGATCGGACTAAAAATGGTGACCTGGGTAGCCTTTTGGTACATTTCAAATGAAGAAACATTTTGCCCTTGAAATTTCAGTTGGATGAAGGCAAGGAACATCTAAGTGAGGACAGCGAGGATGGCGTGGAGGCAAGTGGGTTGCGGCTGGAGGTGGAGGTTGGGGTGGGAGAGGTAGAAGCTCTTCGAGTTCACAAATAAGACGTTGATGTTGTTGTTTTTGTTGTTCATGCCATGGATTTAAGGCCCTGTTGGGCTGATTATGATCTGCAAAAGACAGATAAGAATGAGTTAGAACACAGTGAGAAATAGGCAAAATCAAATGTATAGAGTATTGGGATAAGAAAAAAGGGAATAGAATGGTTACGAGGATACCAAGCTTTGATTTTCAATGCTTGAGGTGTTTGTGGCTCTTATACTACTTTGCTAGGAGTTGGCTCAACATGTTACGGTCCGCTACAGTGTAAATCCTAGAGTGATCTCAGTGATCCATCCAATCGCTAATTATGCCTCACCAAAACGAAGGGTAATTAAGCCTCGCACATCGTGAGAAGAAACTCAACCGTGGCCGCGTTTCACGCGTCCTAGGATAAAACCTCTTGGGCGCATCCTTCGCCTGTCCCAAGATAAAATCGCTCGGGCACATACTTCGCACATCTCGAGATGAAACCAATCTAGGGCCACATTTCAAGCGTCCTGAGATAAAACGGCTCAGGCGCGTGCTTCGCACGTCCTGAGAAGAAACCCACCTTGGGCCGCATTTCCCAAGTCCACAAATAAAACCACTTGGGCGCTCGCCTTGCACGTCCTGAGATAAAGTAGCTCGAGCTCGTGCTATGCACGTCACAACATGAAACCCGCCCAGGTCTGCGTTTCACATGTCCAGAGGTAAAACCTTCTCAAGCGCATGCTTCACACATCCCAAGATAAAACAGCACGAGCGCGTATTTCATACGGCCCGAGATAAAACTAGCCCTGTGTCGCGTTTCACACGTGCTAAGGTAAAACAGCTCAAGCACGTGCTTTGCACGTCCAGAGATGAAACCCGCCAAGGGCCGCATCTCACGATTCCTGAGATAAAACTGCGAGGGTGCGTGCTTTGTACGTCCTGAGATGAAACCCGCGTAGGGCCGTGTTTCACACGTCTCGAGATAAAATCGGTCGGGCGCGTGTTTCGTATTTCCCGAGATGAAACCTGCCTAGGGCCGCGTTTCACACATCATGCGGTATCAAAAAAAATACAAGATCAGACTAACAGTGGCGACCTAGATGGCCTTTTTGCACGTTTCAAATGAAGAAAGAATCTATCCTTCAAATTTAAGTTAGAATAGGGTGAGGAACATCTGAGTGAGGATGGCAAGGATGGTGTGGTGGGAAGTAGGTTACGGTCGGAGGTGGAGGTGGGGCTGGGAGAGTTAAAAGCTCCTTGAGTTGACGAATAAGACGTTGATGTTGTTCTTGTTGTTGTCATTCATGTCTTGGATATAAGGCCTTATTGGGCTTATTATGTTCTGGAAAAGATGGATAAGAATGAGTTAGAACACAGTGAGAAATATGCAAAATCGAAAGTATAGAGTATTGAGATAAGAAATAAGGGAATGGAGTGGTTACAAGGCTACCAAGCCTTGACTTTCAATGCTTGAGGCATTTGTGGCTTTTATACTACGTTGCCAGGAGTTGGCTCAGTGATCCATCCAAGCACTAATTAAGCCTCACCAAAACGAAGGACTGATTAAGCCTCGCACGTCCCGAGATGAAACCTGCCCGCGGCCTGAGATAAAATCGCTCGGGTGCGTGCTTCTCACGTCCCGAGATAAAACCGCTTAGGCACATGCTTCGTATGTCCCGAGATGAAACTCGCCCAGGGCCGTGTTTCACACATCCTGAGATAAAATCACTCGGCGCGTGCTTCGTACGTCCCAAGATGAAACCTACTGAGGGCCGCGTTTTATGCATCATAAGAAAACAAAAGCTACACAAGATCCGACTAACAATGGTGACCTAGGTAGCCTTTTGGTACATTTCAAATGAAGAAACATTTTGCCCTTGAAATTTCAGTTGGATGAAGGCAAGGAACATCTAAGTGAGGACAGCGAGGATGCCGTGGAGGCAAGTGGGTTGCGGCTGGAGGTAGAGGTCGGGGTGGGAGAGGTAGAAGCTCTTCGAGTTCACAAATAAGACGTTGATGTTGTTGTTTTTGTTGTTCATGTCATGGATTTAAGGCCCTGTTGGGCTGATTATGATCTGCAAAAGACAGATAAGAATGAGTTAGAACACAGTGAGAAATAGGCAAAATCAAATGTATAGAGTATTGAGATAAGAAAAAAGGGAATAGAATGGTTACGAGGATACCAAGCTTTGATTTTCAATGCTTGAGGCGTTTGTGGCTCTTTTACTACTTTGCCAGCAGTTGGCTCAACATGTTACGGTCCGCTACAGTGTAAAGCCTAGAGTGATCTCAGTGATCCATCCAATCGCTAATTAAGCCTCACCAAAACGAAGGGTAATTAAGCCTCGCACATCGTGAGAAGAAACTCACCCGTGGTCGCGTTTCACGCGTCCTAGGATAAAACCTCTTGGGCGCATCCTTCGCATGTTCCAAGATAAAATCGCTTGGGCACATACTTCGCGCGTCCCGAGATGAAACCAATCTAGGGCCACATTTCAAGCGTCCTGAGATAAAACGGCTCAGGTGCGTGCTTCGCACGTCCTGAGAAGAAACCCACCCTGGGCCGCATTTCACAAGTCCACAAATAAAACCACTTGGGCGCTCGCCTGGCACGTCCTGAGATAAAGCAGCTCGAGCTCGTGCTATGCACGTCCCAACGTGAAACCCGCCCAAGTCTGCGTTTCACGTGTCCAGAGGTAAAACCTTCTCAGGCGCATGCTTCACACATCCCAAGATAAAACTGCACGAGCGCGTATTTCATACGGCCCGAGATAAAACTAGCCTCGTGTCGCGTTTCACACGTGCTAAGGTAAAGCAGCTCAAGTACGTGCTTTGCACGTCCAGATATGAAACCCGCCAAGGGCCGCATCTCACGATTCCTGAGATAAAACTGCAAGGGCGCGTACTTTGCACGTGCTGAGACGAAACCCGCATAGGGCCGTGTTTCACACGTCTCGAGATAAAATCGGTCAGGCGCGTGTTTCGTATGTCCCGAAATGAAACCTGCCTAGGGCCGCGTTTCACACATCATGCGGTATCAAAAGAAATACAAGATCAGACTAACAGTGGCGACCTAGATGGCCTTTTTGTACGTTTCGAATGAAGAAAGAATCTATCCTTGAAATTTAAGTTAGATGAGGGTGAGGAAGATCTGAGTGAGGATGGAAAGGATGGCGTCGTGGGAAGTAGGTTACGGCCGGAGGAGGAGGTGGGGTTGGGAGAGGTAAAAGCTCCTTGAGTTGACGAATAAGACGTTTATGTTGTTCTTGTTGTTGTCATTCATGTCTTGGATATAAGGCCTTATTGGGCTTATTATGTTCTGGAAAAGATGGATAAGAATGAGTTAGAACACAGTGAGAAATATGCAAAATTGAAAGTATAGAGTATTGAGATAAGAAATAAGGGAATGGAGTGGTTACAAGGCTACCAAGCCTAGACTTTCAATGCTTGAGGCGTTTGTGGCTTTTATACTACGTTGCCAGGAGTTGGCTCAGTGATCCATCCAAGCACTGATTAAGCCTCACCAAAACGAAGGGCTGATTAAGCCTCGCACGTCCCGAGATGAAACATGTCCGCGGCCTGAGATAAAATCCCTCGAGTGCGGGCTTCTCACGTCCCGAGATAAAACCGCTTAGGCACATGCTTCGTATGTCCCGAGATGAAACCCGCCCAGGGCCGCGTTTCACGCATCCTAAGATAAAAACACTCGGCGCGTGCTTCGTACGTCCCAAGATGAAACCTATCGAGGGCCGCATTTTATGCGTCATAAGAAAACAAAAGCTACACAAGATCGGACTAACAATGGTTACCTTGGTAGCCTTTTGGTACATTTCAAATGAAGAAACATTTTGCCCTTGAAATTTCAGTTAGATGAAGGCAAGGAACATCTAAGTGAGGACAGCGAGGATGGCGTGGAGGCAAGTGGGTTGCGGCTGGAGGTAGAGGTCGGGGTGGGAGAGGTGGAAGCTCTTCGAGTTCACAAATAAGACGTTGATGTTGTTGTTTTTGTTGTTCATGTCATGGATTTAAGGCCCTGTTGGGCTGATTATGATCTGCAAAAGGCAGATAAGAATGAGTTAGAACACAGTGAGAAATAGGCAAAATCAAATGTATAGAGTATTGAGATAAGAAAAAAGGGAATAGAATGGTTACGAGGATACCAAGCTTTGATTTTCAATGCTTGAGGCGTTTGTGGCTCTTATACTACTTTGCCAACAGTTGGCTCAGCTTGTTATGGTCCGCTACAGTGTAAATCCTAGAGTGATCTCAGTGATCCATCCAATCGCTAATTAAGCCTCACCAAAACGAAGGGTGATGAAGCCTCGCACATCATGAGAATAAACTCACCCGTGGCCGCGTTTCACGCATCCTAGGATAAAACCACTTGGGCGCATCCTTCGCATGTGCCAAGATAAAATCGCTCGGGCACATACTTCGCACGTCCCGAGATGAAACCAATCTTGGGCCACATCTCAAGCGTCCTGAGATAAAACGGCTCAGGCGCGTGCTTTGCACGTCCTGAGAAGAAACCCACCCTGGGCCGCATTTCACATGTCCACAAATAAAACCACTAGGGCGCTCGCTTTGCACGTCCTGAGATACAGCAGCTCGAGCTCGTGCTATGCACGTCCCAACATGAAACCCGCCCAGGTCTGCATTTCACGTGTCCAGAGGTAAAACCTTCTTAGGCGCATGCTTCACACATCCCAAGATAAAACTGCACGAGCCCGTATTTCATACGGCCCGAGATAAAACTAGCCCCGTGTCGCGTTTCACACGTGCTAAGGTAAAACTGCTCAAGCACTTGCTTTGCACGTCTAGAGATGAAACTCGCCAAGCGACGCATCTCACGATTCCTGAGATAAAACTGCAAGGGCACGTGCTTTGCACGTCCTGAGATGAAACCCGCATAGGGCCGCGTTTCACAAGTCTCGAGATAAAATCACTCGGGCGCGTGTTTCGTATGTCCCGAGATAAAACCTGCATAGGGCCGCGTTTCACACGTCATGCGGTATCAAAAGCAATAAAACATCAGACTAACAGTGGCGTGCTAGATGGCCTTTTGTACGTTTCGAATGAAGAAAGAATCTGTCCTTCAAATTTAAGTTGGATGAGGATGAGGAACACCTGAGTGAGGATGGCGTGGTGGGAAGTAGGTTACGGCCGGAGGTGGAGGTGGGGGTGGAAGAGGTAGAAGCTCCTTGAGTTGACGAATAAGACGTTGATGTTGTTCTTGTTGTTGTCATTCATATCTTGGATATAAGACCTTATTGGGCTTGTTATGTTCTGGAAAAGATGGAGAAGAATGAGTTAGAACATAGTGAGAAATATGCAAAATCGAAAGTATAGAGTATTGAGATAAGAAATAAGGGAATGAAGTGGTTACAAGGCTACCAAGCCTTGACTTTCAATGCTTGAGGTATTTGTGGCTTTTATACTACGTTGCCAGGAGTTGGCTTAGTGATCCATCCAAGCGCTGATTAAGCCTCACCAAAACGAAGGGCTGATTAAGCCTCGCACGTCCCGAGATGAAACCTGCTCGCGGCCTGAGATAAAATCGCTCGGGTGCGTGCCTCTCACGTCCCGAGATAAAACCGCTTAGGCGCATGCTTCGTATGTCCCGAGATGAAACCCGCCCAGGGACGCGTTTCACGCATCATGAGATAAAATCACTCGGCGCGTGCTTCGTACGTCCTAGGATGAAACCTACCGAGGGCCGCGTTTTATGCGTCATAAGCAAACAAAAGCTACACAAGATCGGACTAAAAATGGTGACCTAGGTGGCCTTTTGGTACATTTCAAATGAAGAAACATTTTTCCCTTGAAATTTCAGTTGGATGAAGGCAAGGAACATCTAAGTGAGGACAGCGAGGATGGCGTGGAGGCAAGTGGGTTGCGGCTGGAGGTGGAGGTCGGGGTGGGAGAGGTAGAAGCTCTTCGAGTTCACAAATAAGACGTTGATGTTGTTGTTTTTGTTGTTCATGTCATGGATTTAAGGCCCTGTTGGGCTGATTGTGATCTGGAAAAGACAGATAAGAATGAGTTAGAACACAGTGAGAAATAGGCAAAATCAAATGTATAGAGTATTGAGATAAGAAAAAAGGGAATAGAATGGTTACGAGGATACCAAGCTTTGATTTTCAATGCTTGAGGCGTTTGTGGCTCTTATACTACTTTGCCAGGAGTTGGCTCAACATGTTACGGTCCGCTACAGTGTAAATCCTAGAGTAATCTCAGTGATCCATCCAATCGCTAATTAAGCCTCACCAAAACGAAGGGTAATTACGCCTCGCACATCGTGAGAAGAAACTCACCCGTGGCCGCGTTTCACGCGTCCTAGGATAAAACCTCTTGGGCGCATCCTTTACATGTCCCAAGATAAAATCGCTCGGGCACATACTTCGCACGTCCCGAGATGAAACCAATCTAGGGCCACATTTCAAGCGTCCTGAGATAAAACGGCTCAGGCGCTTGCTTTGCACGTCTTGAGAAGAAACCCACCTGGGCCGCATTTCAAAAGTCCACAAATAAAACCACTTGGGCGCTCGCTTTGCACGTCCTGAGATAAAGCAGCTCGAGCTCGTGCTATGCACATCCCAACATGAAACCCGCCCAGGTCTGCAATTCACGTGTCCAGAGGTAAAACCTTCTCAGGCGCATGCTTCACACATCCCAAGATAAAACTGCACGAGCGCGTATTTCATACGGCCCGAGATAAAACTAGCCCCGTGTCGCGTTTCACACGTGCTAAGGTAAAACAGCTCAAGCACGTGCTTTGCACGTCCTGAGATGAAACCCGCATAGGGCCGTGTTTCACGCGTCTCGAGATAAAATCGCTCCGGCGCGTGTTTCGTATGTCCCGAGATGAAACCTGCCTAGGGCCGCGTTTCACCCGTCATGCGGTATCAAAAGCAATACAAGGTCAGACTAACAGTGGCAACCTAGATGGCCTTTTTGTACGTTTCGAATGAAGAAAGAATCTGTCCTTCAAATTTAAGTTGGATGAGGGTGAGGAACATCTGAGTGAGGATGGCAAGGATGGCGCGGTGGGAAGTAGGTTACGGCCGGAGGTGGAGGTGGTGGTGGGAGAGGTAGAAGCTCCTTGAGTTGACGAATAAGACGTTGATGTTGTTCTTGTTATTGTTGTTCATGCCTTCGATTTAAGGCCCTATTGGACTGATTATGTTCTGCCGAAGATGGATAAGAATGAGTTAGAACACAGTGAGAAATATGCAAAATCGAAAGTATAGAGTATTGAAATAAGAAATAAGGGAATGGAGTGGTTACAAGGCTACCAAGCCTTGACTTTCAATGCTTGAGGCGTTTGTGGCTTTTATACTACTTTGCTAGGAGTTGGCTCAATGATCCAACCAAGGGCTAATTAAGCCTCACCAAAACAAAGGGCTGATTAAGCGTCGCACGTCCCGAGATGAAACTCGCCAAGGGCAGCATTTCACGCAGCCCGAGATAAAATCGCTCAGGCACTTGCTTCTCACATCCCGAGATAAAACTGCTCGGGCGCATGCTTCGCATGTCCCGGGATGAAACCGGCCCAGGGCCGCATTTTACGCATCCTGAGATAAAATCACTCGGGCACGTGCTTCGCACGTCCCGAGATGAAACCTATCGAGGGCCGCATTTTACGCGTCCTGAGAAAACAAAAGCTATACAAGATCAGACTAACAATGGCGACCTAGATAGACTTTTGGTACATTTCGAATGAAGAAAATCTTGGGAGCGTGCTTCGTGCGTCCCAAGATAAAATCACGCAGGCACATACTTCGCACGTCCCAAGATGAAACCAGTCTAGCGCTACATTTCAAGCGTCTTGAAATAAAACCGCTCAGGCACGTGCTTCGCATGTGCCGAGAAGAAACCCACCCTGGGCCGTATTTCCCACGTCAACAGATAAAATCGCTTGGGCAGTTGCTTTGCACGTTCTGAGATAAAACAGCTCGAGCTCGTGCCTCGCACTTCCCAACATGAAAACCACCTAGGTCCGCGTTTCACGCGTCCAAAGGTAAAACCTTCTCAGGCGCATGCTTCGCACATCCCAAGATAAAACTGCTCGAGCGCGTACTTCATACAGACTGAGATAAAACTAGCCAGTGTCACGTTTCACACGTGCTAAGGTAAATCAACTCAATCACGTGCTTTCCACGTCCTGAGATGAAACCCGCCAAGGGCCGCGTCTCACGATTCCTGAGATAAAGTTGGAAGGGTGCGTGCTTTGCATGTCCTTAGAAGAAACCGGTCAGGCGTGTGCTTCGCATGTCCCACGATGAAACCTGCATAGGGCCGTGTTTCACGCGTCTCTTGATAAAATCGCTCCGGCGCGTGTTTCGTACATCCCGAGATGAAACCTGCCCAAGGCTGCGTTTCACACGTCATGAGGTATCAAAAGCAATACAAGATCAGACTAACAGTAGCGACCTAGATGGGCTTTTTGTACGTTTCGAATGAAGAAAGACTTTGTCCTTCAAATTTTAGTTGGATGAAGGTGAGGAACATCTGAGTGAGGATGGCAAGGATGGCGTGGTGGGAAGTGGGTTACGGCCGGAGGTGGAGGTGGAGGTGGAGGTGGGGGTGGGAGAGGTAGAAGCTCCTTGAGCTGACGAATAAGACGTTGATGTTGTTCATGTTATTGTTGTTCATGCCTTCGATTTAAGGCCCTATTAGACTGATTATGTTCTGCCGAAGATGGATAAGAATGAGTTAGAACATAGTGAGAAATATGCAAAATCGAAAGTATAGAGTATTGAGATAAGAAAGAAGGGAATGGAGTGGTTACGGGGCTACCAAACCTTGACTTCCAATGCTTGAGGCGTTTGTGGCTTTTATACTACGTTGCCAGGAGTTGGCGTAGTGATCCATCCAAGCGCTGATTAAGCCTCACCAAAACGAAGGGCTGATTAAGCCTCACACGTCCCGAGATGAAACCCGACTAGGGTGGGGTTTCACGCGGCCTGAGATAAAATTGCTCAGGCGCGTGCTTCTCACGTACCGAGATAAAACCGCTTGGGCGCATGCTTCGCATGTCCCCAGATGAAACCCGCCCAGGGCCGCGTTTCACATATCCTGAGATAAAATCACTCGGGTGCGTGCTTCGCACGTCCCGAGATGAAACCTACCGAGGGTCGCGTTTTACGCGTGCTGAGAAAACAAAAGCTATACAAGATCAGACTAACAATGGCGCCCCAGATAGCCTTTTGGTACATTTCGAATGAAGAAATGTTTTGTCCTTGAAATTTTAGTTGGATGAAGGGAAGAAACATCTAAGTGAGGACAGCGAGGACGGCGTGTCCGAAAATGGGCCGCGGTTGTAGGTGGAGATCGGGGTGGGAGAGGTAGAAGCTCCTCGAGTTCACAAATAAGATGTTGATGTTGTTGTTTTTGTTGTTCATGTCTTGGATTTAAGGCCCTATTGGGCTGATTTTGATCTGCAAAAGATGGATAAGAATGAGTTAGAACACAGTGAGAAATAGGCAAAATAAAATGTATAGAGTATTGAGATAAGAAAAAAGGGAATAGAATGGTTACGAGGATACCAAGCTTTGATTTTCAAAGCTTGAGGCGTTTGTGGCACTTATACTACTTTGCTAAGAGTTGGCTCAACGTGTTACGGCCCGCTACAGTGTAAATCCTAGAGTGATCTCAGTGATCCATCCAAGCACTAATTAAGCCTTACCCGGGGTCGCGTTCCACACGTCCTAAGATAAAACCGCTTGGGCGCATGCTTCGCATATCCCAAGAGAAAATCGCTCGGGCACATACTTCGCACGTACCGAGATGAAACCTGCCTAGGGCCACATTTCAAGGGTCCTAATATAAAACCGCTCAGGCGCGTGCTTCGAACATCCCGAGATGAAACCCACCCTGGGCAGCATTTCCCACGTCAACAGATAAAACCGCTTAGGCGATTGCTTTGCACGTCTTGAGATAAAACAGCTCGAGTTCGTGCTTCGCACACCCCAACATGAAACCCACCCAGGTTCGCGTTTCACGCGTCCAGAGGTAAAACCTTCTCAGGCGCATGCTTTGCACATCCCAAGATAAAACTGCTCGAGCGCGTACTTCATACAGACCGAGATAAAACTAGCCTAGTGTCGCGTTTCACACGTGCTAAGGTAAAACAGCTCAAGCACGTGCTTTGCACGTCCAGAGATGAAACCCGCCAAAGGCCATGTCTCACGATTCCTGAGATAAAGCTGCAAGGGCGCATGCTTTGCACGTCCTGAGATGAAACCGATCAGGTGTGTGCTTCGAATGTCCCAAGATAAAACCTGCACAGGGCCTAGCTTCACGCGTCTCAAGATAAAATCGCTCTGGTGAGTGTTTCGTACATCCCGAGAGGAAACCTGCCCAGGGCCGCGTTTCGCACGTCATGAGGTATCAAAAGCAATACAAGATCAGACTAACAGTGGCCACCTAAATGACGTTTTTGTACGTTTCAAATGAAGAAAGATTTTTTCCTTCAAATTTCAGTTGGATGAAGGTGAGGAACATCTGAGTGAGGATGGCAAGGATGGCGTGGTGGGAAGTGGGTTACAGCCGGAGGTGGAGGTGGGGGTGGGAGAGGTAGAACCTCCTTGAGTTGACGAATAAGACGTTGATGTTGTTCTTGTGGTTGTTGTTCATGTCTTGGATTTAAGGTCGTATTGGGCTGATTATGTTCTAAAAAAGATGGATAAGAATGAGTTAGAACACATTGAGAAATATGCAAAATCGAAAGTATAGAGTATTGAGATAAGAAAGAAAGGAATGGAGTGGTTACGAGGCTACCAAGCCTTGACTTTCAATGCTTGAGGCATTTGTGGCTTTTATACTACTTTGCCAGGAGTTGACTCAGTGATCCATCCAAGGGCTGATTAAGCCTCACCAAAACGAACGGGTGATTAAGCCTCGCACGTCCCGAGATGAAGCCCGCCCAGGGTGGCGTTTCACGCGGCCTGATATAAAATCGCACGAGTGCGTGGTTCTCACGTTCTGAAATAAAACCGCTCGGGCACATGGTTCGTATGTTCCGAGATGAAACCCGCCCAGGGCCGTGTTTCACGCATCTTAAGATGAAATCACTCGGGCGCGTGCTTTGCACGTCCCGAGATGAAACCTACCAAGGGTCGCGTTTTACGCATCCTGAGAAAACAAAAGCTATAAAAGATCAGACTAACAATGGCGACCTAGATAGCCTTTTGGTACATTTCGAATAAAGAAACATTTTTTCCTCGAAATTTCAGTTAGATGAAGGCAAGGAACATCTAAGTGAGGACAGCGAGGATGGCGTGGCGGGAAGTGGATTGCGGCTGGAGGTGGAGGTCGGGGTGGGAGAGGTAGAAGCTCCTCGAGTTCATAGGTAAGACATTGATGTTATTGTTTTTGTTGTTCATGTCTTGGATTTAAGGCCCTGTTGGGCTGATTATGATCTGCAAAAGATCGATAAGAATGAGTTAGAACACAGTGAGAAATAGGCAAAATCAAATGTACAGAGTATCGAGAAAAGAAAAAAGGGAATAGAATGGTTACGAGGATACCAAGCTTTGATTTTCAATGGTGGAGGCGTTTGTGGCTTTTATACTACTTTGCTAGGAGTTGTCTCAACGTGTTCGGTCTGCTACAGTGTAAATCCTAGAGTGATCTCAGTGATCCATCCAAGCACTAATTAAGCCTCACCAAAATGAAGGGCTAATTAAGCGTCGCACATCCCATGAAGAAAGTCACCCGTGGCCGCGTTTCACGCGTCCTATGAAAAAACCTCTTCGGCGCGTGCTTCGCACGTCCCAAGGTAAAATCTCTCCAGCACATACTTCCCACGACCCGAGATGAAACCAGCCTAGGGCCACATTTCAAGCGTCCTGAGATAAAACGGCTCTGGCGCGTGCTGCGCACGTTCCGAGAAGAAACCCACCCTGGGCCGTATTTCACACGTCTACAGATAAAACCGCTTTGGCGCTTGCATTGCACGGCCCGAGATAAAATAGCTCAAGCTCGCGCTTCGCTTGTCCCAAGATGAAACCCGCCCAGGTCCGCGTTTCACGCGTCCATAGATAGAACCACAATGGCGCGTGCTTCGTACATCCCAAGATAAAACTGCTGGGGCCCATACATCGTACGGCCCGAGATAAAACTAGCCCAGTGTCGTGTTTCACACAAGCTAAGGTAAAACATCTCAAGCACGCGCTTTGCACGACCAGAGATGAAACCCGACAAGGGCCGCGTCTCACGATTCCTGAGATAAAACAGATAAAACTGCTAGGGCGCGTGCTTTGCACATCCTGAGATGAAACTGATCAGGCGTGTGCTTCGCATGTCCCTAGATAAAACCCGCCTAGGGCCGTGTTTCACGTGTATCGAGATAAAATCGCTCAGGCGCGTGTTTCGTACGTCCCGAGATGAAACCTACCTAGGGCCGTGTTTCACACGTCATGAGATAACAAAAGCAATACATGATCAGACTAATAATGGCGACCAAGATGGCCTTTTTGTACGTTTCGAATGAAGAAGTACCTTGCCCTTCAAATTTCAGTTAGATGAAGGTGAGGAACATCTGAGTGTGGATGGCAAGGACGGCGTGGTGGGAAGTGGGTTACGACCAGAGGTGGATGTGGGGGTGGGAGAGGTAGAAGCTCCTTGAGTTGACAAATAAGACGTTGTTGTCGTTCTTGTTGTTGTTGTTCATGTCTTGGATTTAAGGCCTTGTTGGGCTGATTATGTTCTGTAAAAGATGGATAAGAATGAGTTCGAACACAGTGAGAAATATGAAAAATCGAAAGTATAGAGTATTGAAATAAGAAATAAGGAAATGGAGTGGTTAGGAGGCTACCAAGCCTTGACTTTCAAGGCTTGAGACGTTTGTGGCTTTTATACTACTTTGCTAGGAGTCGGCTTAGTGATCCAGCCAAGGGCTAATTAAGCCTCACCAAAACGAAGGGTTGATTAAGACTTGCACGCCCCATGATGAAACCTGCCAAGGGCGGCGTTTCAGGCGGCCTGAGATAAAATCGCTCGGGCGCGTGCTTCTCACGTCCCGAGATAAAACCGGTTGGGCGCATGCATCGCACGTCCAGAGATGAAACCCATCCATGGCCGCGTTTCACGCATCCTGAGATAAAATCTCTCGAGCGCATGCTTCGCATGTCCCGAGATGAAACCTACTGAGGGCCACATTTTATGCGTCTTCAGAAAACAAAAGCTATACAAGATCAGACTAACAATGGCAACCCAGATATCCTTTTGGTACATTTCGAATGAAGAAACATTTTGTCCTTGAAATTTCAATTGGATGAAGGCAAGGAACATCTAAGTGAGGACAGCGAGGACGGAGTGGCGGGAAGTGGGTTGCGGCTGGAGCTGGAGGTCGGGGTGCGAGAGGTAGAAGCTCCTCGAGTTCACATATAAGACGTTGATGTTGTTGTTTTTGTTGTTCATGTCTTGGATTTAAGGCCCTGTTGGGTTGATTATGATCTACAAAAGATTGATAAGAATGAGTTAGAACACAGTGAGAAATAGGCAAAATCAAACGTATAGAGTATTGACATAAGAAAAAAGGGAATAGAATGGTTACGAGGATACCAAGCTTTGATTTTCAATGCTTGAGGCGTTTGTGGCTTTTATACTACTTTGCTAGGAGTTGGCTCAACGTGTTACCGTCTGCTACAGTATAAATCGTAGAGTGATCTCGGTGATCCATCCAAGCGCTAATTACGCCTCACCAAAATGAACGGCTAATTAAGCCTCGCACATCCCGTGAAGAAACTCACCCGGAGTCGCGTTTCACGGGTCTTAAGATAAAACCACTCTGGCGCGTGCTTTGCACGTCCCAAGATTAAATCGCTCGGGCACATACTTCGCACGTCCCGAGATGACACCAACCTAGGGCCACATTTTAAGCGTCCTGCGATGAAACCGCTCAGGCACGTGCTTCGCACGTCCCAAGAAGAAACCCAACCTGGGCCACATTTCACACGTCCACAGATAAAACCGCTTGGGCGCTTACTTTGCACGTCCCGAGATAAAATAGCTCGAGCGGGTGCTTCGCACGTCCCAAGATGAAACCCACCCAGGTCCGCATTTCACGTGTCCAGAGATAAAACCTCCCAGGCTCGTGCTTCGCACATCCCAAGATAAAACTGCTCGGGTGCTTACTTCATACGGCCCGAAAGAAAACTTGCCCAGTGTCGCGTTTCACACGTGCTAAGGTGAAACAGTTTAACCACGTGCCTTGCACGTCCAGAGATGAAACCCGTCCAAGGCCGCGTCTCACAATTCCGGAGATAAAACTGTTTCGGCGCGTGCTTCGCATGTCCCGAGATAAAACCCGCCTAGGGCCGTGTTTTACACATCTCGAGATAAAATTGCTCGAGCGCGTGTTTCGTACGTCCCGAGATGAAAACTGTCCACGGCCGTGTTTCAGACGTCATGAGATAACAAAAGCAACACAAGATCAGACTAACAGTGGCGACGTTGATGGCCTTTTTGTATTTTTCGAATGAAGAAACATTTTGTCCTTCAAATTTCAGTTGGATGAAGGTGGGGAACATCCGAGTGAGGATGGCAAGGACGGCGTGGTGGGAAGTGGGTTACAGCCAAAGGTGGAGGTGGGGGTGGGAGAGTTAGAAGCTCCTTGAGTTGACATATAAGACGTTGTTGTTGTTCTTGTTGTTGTTGTCCATGTGTAGGATTTAAGGCCCTGTTGGGCTGATTATGTTCTGCAAAAGATGGATAAGAATGAGTTAGAACATAGTGAGAAATATGCAAAATCAAAAGTATAGAGTATTGAGAGAAGAAAGAACAGAATGGAGTGGTTTTGAGGCTACCAAGCCTTGACTTTCAATGCCTGAGGCATTTGTGGCTTTTATACTACTTTGCCAGAAGTTGGCTAAGTGATCCACCCAAGGGCTGATTAAGCCTCACCAAAACGAAGGGTTGATTAAGCCTCGCATGCCCCGAGATGAAACCCACCCAAGGCGGAGTTTCACGGGGCCTGAGATAAAATGGCTCGGGCGCGTGCTTCTCACGTCCCGAGATAAAACTGCTCGGGCGCATGCTTCGCATGTCCCGAGATGAAACCCGCCCAGGGCCGCGTTTCACACATCCTGAGATAAAATCGCTCGGGCTCGTGCTTCGCACATCCCGAGATGAAACGTACTGAGGGTCGGGTTTTACTCGTCCGGAGAAAATAAAAGCTATACAAGATCAGGGTAACAATGGCGACCCAGATAGCCTTTTGGTACATTTCGAATGAAGAAACATTTTGTCCTTGAAATTTCAGTTGAATAAAGGCAAGGAAAATCTAAGTGAGTACAGTGAGGATGGCGTGGCTGGAAGTGTGTTGCGACTGGAAGTGGATGTCGGGGTGGGAGAGGTAGAAGCTCCTCGAGTTCACAAATAAGACGTTGATGTTGTTTTTGTTGTTCATGTCTTGGATTTAAGGCCCTGTTGGGCTGATTATGATCCGCAAAAGATGGATAAGAATGAGTTAGAACACAGTGAGAAATAGGCAAAATCAAATGTATAGAGTATCGAGATAAGAAAAAAGGGAATAGAATGGTTACGAGGATACCAAGCTTTGATTTTCAATGCTTGAGGCATTTGTGGCTTTTATACTACTTTGCTTGGAGTTGGCTCAACATGTTACGGTCCTCTACAGTGTAAATCCTAGAGCGATCTCACTGATCCATCCAAGCACTAATTAAGTCTCACCAAAACGAAAGGCTAATTAAGCCTCGCACATCCCGAGACCAAACTCACCCGTGGTAGCGTTTCACGCCTCCTCAGAAAAAACCTCTCAGGCGTGTGCTTCGCACGTCCCAAGATAAAATCGCTCGGGCACATACTTCGCACGACCCGAGATGAAACCAGCCTAAGGCCACGTTTCAAGCGTCCTGAGATAAAACCGCTCAGGCGCGTGGTTCGTACGTCCGGAGAAGAAACCCAACCTGGGCCGCATTTCACACGTCCACAGATAAAACCGCTTGGGCGCTTACTTTTCACGTCCTGAGATAAAACAACTCGAGCTGGTGCTTCGCACGCCCCAAGATGAAACCAACCCAGGTTCGCGTTTCACGCGTCCAGAGATAAAACCTCTCAGGCACGTGCCTCGCACATCCCAAGATAAAACTGCTCGGGTGCGTACTTCAAACAGCCAAAGATAAAACTAGCCCAGTGTCGCGTTTCACACGTGCTAAGGTAAAATAGCTCAAGCACGTGGTTTGCACGTCCATAGAGGAAACTCGCCAAGGGTCGCGTCTCACGATTCCTGAGATGGAACTGCTAGGGTGCATGCTTTGCACGTCCAGAGATGAAACTGGTCAGGCATGTGCTTCGCATGTCCCGAGTTGAAACCAGCCTAGGGCCGCATTTCACGTGTCTCAAGATAAAATTGCTCGGGCACGTGTTTCGAACGTCCCGAGATGAAAACTTCCTAGGGCCACATGTGACCCGTCGTGAGATAACAAAAGCAATATATGATCAGACTAAGAGTGGCGACCTAGATGGCCTTTTTGTACGTTCCGAATGAAGAAATGTTTTGTCCTTCAAATTTCAATTGGATGAAGGTGAGGAACATCTGAGTGAGGATGACAAGGACGACGTGGTAGGAAGTGGGTTACGGCCAGAGGTGGAGGTGGTGGTGGGAGAGGTAGAAGCTCCTTGAGTTGACAAATAAGAAGGTGATGTTGTTCATGTCATTGTTGTTCATGTCTTGGAGTTAAGGCCCTGTTGGGCTGATTATGTTCTGCAAAAGATGGATAAGAATGAGTTAGAACACAGTGAGAGATATGCAAAATTGAAAGTATAGAGTATTGAGATAAGAAAGAAGGGAATGGAGTGGTTTCGAGGCTACCAAGCCTTGACTTTCAATGCTTGAGGCGTTTGTGGCTTTTATACTACTTTGACAGGATTTGGCTCAGTGATCCATCCAATGGCTGCTTAAGCCTCACCAAAGCGAAGGGCTGATTAAGCCTTGCATGTATCGATATGAAAGCCGCCCAGGGTGGCATTTCACGTGGCCTGAGATAAAATCGCTCGGGCACGTGCTTCTCACGTCCCGAGATAAAACCGCTCGGGCGCATGCTTCGCATGTCCCGAGATGAAACTCGCCCAGGGCCGCGTTTCACGCATCCTGAGATAAAATCGCTCGGGCGCATGCTTCGCACATCCCGCGATCAAACCTACCGAAGGCCGTGCTTTACGCGTCCTGAGAAAACAAAAGCTATACAAGATCAGACAAACAATGGCGACCTAGATAGCCTTTTGGTACATTTGGAATGAAGAAACATTTTGTACTTGAAATTTCAGTTGGATGAAGGAAAGGAACATCTAAGTGAGGACAGCGAGGATGGCGTGGCGGGAAGTGGGTTGCGGCTGGAGGTGGAGGTCGGGGTGGGAGAGGTAGAAGCTCCTCGAGTTCACAAATAAGACGTTGATGTTGTTGTTTTTGTTGTTCATGTCTTGGATTTAAGGCCCTGTTGGGCTGACTATGATCTGCAAAAGATGGATAAGAATGAGTTAGAACACAGTGAGAAATAGGCAAAATAAAATGTATAGAGTATTGAGATGAGAAAAAAGGGAATAGAATGGTTACGAGGATACCAAGCTTTGATTTTCACTGCTTGAGGCGTTTGTGGCTTTTATACTACTTCGGTAGGAGTTGGCTCAACGTGTTATGGTCCTCTACAGTGTAAATCCTAGAGTGATCGCAGTGATCTACCCAAGCGCTAATTAAGTCTACCCGAAACGAAGGGCTAATTATGCCTTGCACATCCCGAGAAGAAACTCACCGGGGCCGCGTTTCACGCGTCCGAAGATAAAACCTCCTGGGCACGTGCTTCGCACGTCCCAAGATAAAATGGCTCTAGCACATACTTCGCACAGCCCGAAATGAAACCAGCCTAGGGCCACATTTCAAGCGTCCTGAGATAGAACCGCTCAGGTGGGTGATTCGCACATCCCGAGAAGAGAACCACCCTGGGCCGCATTTCACACGTCCATCGATAAAATAGTTTGGGCGCTTGCTTTGCACGTTTCGAGATAAAACAGCTCGAGCTCGTGCTTCGCACGTCCCAAGAGGAAACCCACCTAGGTCTACGTTTCACGCATCTAGAGATAAAACGACTCAGGCACGTGCTTCACACATCCCAAGATAAAACTGCTCGGGCGCGTACTTCATACGGCCCGGGATAAAACTAGCCCAGTGTCGCGTTTCACACGTGTTAAGGTAAAACAGCTCAAGCACGTGCTTTGCACGTCAAGAGATGAAACCCACCAAGGGCCGCGTCTCACAATTCCTGAGATAAAACTACAAGGGCCCGTGCTTTGCACGTCCTGAGATGAAACCGGTCAGGCGTGTGCTTCGTATTTCTCGAGATGAAACCAGCCTAGGGCCGTGTTTCACGCATCTCGAGATAAAATCGCTGGGGCGCATGTTTCGTAAGTCCCGAGATGAAACCTACCAAGGGCTGTGTTTCACCAGTCATGAGATAACAAAAGCAATACAAGATCAGACTAATAGTGGCGACCTAGATAGCGTTTTTGTACATTTCGAATGAAGAAACTTTTTGTCGTTCAAATTTCAGTTGGATGAAGGTGAGGAACATCTGAGTGAGGATGGCAAGGACGGTGTGGTGGGAAGTGGGTTACGGCCGGAGGTGGAGGTGGAGGTGGAGGTGGAGGTGGAGGTGGGGGTGGGAGAGGTAGAAGCTCCTTGAGTTGAGGAACATCTGGGCCACATTATACAAGATCAGACTAATAGTGGCGACCTAGATAGCCTTTTTGTACATTTCGAATGAAGAAACTTTTTGTCATTCAAATTTCAGTTGGATGAAGGTGAGGAACATCTGAGTGAGGATGGCAAGGACGGCGTGGTGGGAAGTGGGTTACGGCCGGAGGTGGAGGTGGAGGTGGAGGTGGAGGTGGAGGTGGGGGTGGGAGAGGTAGAAGCTCCTTGAGTTGAGGAACATCTGGGCCACATTTCAAACGTCGTAAGACAGAACCGCTCAGGCATGTGCTTCGCACGTCCTGAGAAGAAAACCACCCTGGGCCGCATTTCAAATGTCCACCGTTAAAATCGTTTGGGCGCTTGCTTTGCACGTTCTAAGATAAAACAGCTCGAGCTCGTGCTTCGCACGTTCCAAGATGAAACCCACCTAGGTCCGCATTTCACGTGTCCAGTGATAAAACCTCTCAGGAACGTGCTTCACACATCCCAAGATAAAACTGCTCCGGCGCGTACTTCATACGGCCCGAGATTAGACTAGCCCAGTGTCGCCTTTCACACTTGTTAAGGTAAAAAAGCTCAAGCACGTGCTTTACACGTCCAAAGATGAAACCAACCAAGGGCTGCGTCTCACGATTCCTGAGATAAAGCAGCTAGGGCGCGTGCTTTGCACGTCCTGAGATGAAACCGGTCAGGCGTGTGCTTCGCATTTCCTGAGATGAAACCCGCCTAGGGCCGTGTTTCACACATCTCGAGATGCAATCGCTCAGGCGCGTGTTTCGTTAGTCCCGAGATGAAACCTACCCAGGGCTGCGTTTCACCAGTCATGAGATAACAAAAGCAATACAAGATCAGACTAATAGTGGCGACCTAGATAGCCTTTTTGTACGTTTCGAATGAAGAAACATTTATAGAGAGAGAGAGTGAGTTTGTATGAAAGGTTTATATATAGCCTTTGGGGGTAGAATGCTTGCTTGTTCTTGAGTCTGATGGTTGAGGGCTTGTGTAAAATATATCTCTCACACACACAGCTGTTGCAAATTTTAGTCAAGTGTTATTGATGTTTCCCTTCCATACACTCTTTTTTTTTTTTTTTTTTAAAAAATTTTTTTAGTTATTTTAAAATTACTATGTTGTGTATTTTAGGACGAAACTGAACTACTTGGTGGGGGAGAGAGAAAAGCAGTTGGAGGGGAGAAAAAAAATCATAAAAATTTGCAGGTTGCAAGTAAAACGTTGTGGGGCTGTCATGTTTGTGAATTTTTATTTTTATTTTTTTAACCAACCATTAAGTAATTCTCCCTGTGAATAATCAGTGGCACAATTTCTGGAGTGGCTTGTATGATACCAACTCATGCCTTAGAAAATTCATTATTATTTTGGAGAGTAATGGGAAACTTTTGAGAGAGAGGGAGAGTTAAGGTTGGATCTTGGAAAGTGAATGATGGTGACTCTATTTCGTTTGAAGATATATATATATATATATATACATATAGTTAATTGGACCACATGAAATTAAATTAAAAATGAAAGAGGGAAGTGGTGTTGAATTCTATCATATATCTATATAATAAGGTAAGAAGCTTTTTGAAAATGTCTTAAAATGTATGTGAGATACATTTTGATCCAACGGTTGAGATGAGTTGATTTTAAGCATGAATGGCTGAGATGTGTTGTAATATTTTCAACGTCCCGCCCAAAGCAATCCTGTCTCCTGCACCCTCTCTCTCTCTCTCTCTCCAACTTCTTAGGTCTCAAGAGCTCTCTCTCTCTTCCTCTCCCTTCTCTCTACTGCCGCTCCGCTTCCACTGTTGCGCCGCCTCCGATCTCCACCGACAGCCACTCTTCATCTCCTCTCCCTCCCAGATCTCAGATCGTCCTCCGCCGTCACCATGTCTTCCCAAAGCAAACGCATAATTATATATAATTAATCCAAAGATTTATATATTTATATTTGTTATATAAAAAAAAAAGGTGTTATCTATATAATAAGGCAAGAGGCATTTTAAAAATGTCTTAAAATGTGTATGAGATACATTTTGATCCAACGGCTGAGATGAGTTGATTTTAAGCATGAACGGCTGAGATGCGTTGTAATATTTTCAACGTCCCGCCCAAAACAATCCTGTCTCCTGCACCCTCTCTCTCTCTCTCTCTGTGTGTGTGTGTGTGTATGTATTGATTCGGGGGCAAATCGAGTCTCGCCTTGCATCAACTGAATCGTTGAATTTTATTGAATTGTTGCCGCTTTGTTGATTTGTGGTTCAAGATCAACTGGATTCGTTCATTTCTAGGTTTGATTTTCATTCTTTGGCATTTAAATTCGCTTCTGTAACTAGAGATTTGAACAATTCTAATAGGCAGAGCCAGAAACAGATGAAGTCTATGCACAGATCACTTTACACCCAGAAGCAGATGTGAGCTTATTATACTATTAAATCATTTATTTTTATGCCTTGCAATATTGGGAAAATTGTGTTTTTAAAGTAATTTTGTGTGTGTGTGAATGTTTTATGGTGATGATAATAGCAATCTGAACCTACAAGTCCTGATCCGAGCCCACCTGAGCAACCAAAATAGACTGTACATTCTTTCTGTAAAATTTTAATGGCATCTGATACTAGCACCCATGGAGGGTTTTCTGTTCTTCGGAAGCATGCCAACGAATGCCTGCCACAATTGGTAATTTCTCTCATTTTCATTTCCCTCTGTTCGGTTAGTTATCTGTGGAAAAGAAAAAGCAAAATTGAAATTATGTTGATGTTATAGTTTCAAGAAATTGGAAAGCAGGCCTAATATATGGGAAATTGGTTGTAATTAGTACTGTTACAGTGGGGTTTTGATTACTCACAATTGTTTGGATTAGGTGATTTGGGGAGAAAAGAAAAGTTACTTTTTTATAATCTCTTGTTGATTGTTAGTTTTGTCTCTAAAATTCTCATGACAAGTGGTTTTGATTTCTCCTTAATCACATAATAAATATTTTTTTGTTCTCTTTTCTCTTTCTCTCTCTATTTTTCAAACGATTGGGGATGATAACGGTCTCTTCTCTCTTCTTTACCCAGCTAAATTATTCAAACATTTGAGTTGCCTTTTCATATCCTTCAGGACATGACCCAGTCAACCCCAACCCAGGATTTGGTTGCCAAAGATCTTCATGGGCATGAGTGGCGATTTAAGCATATATTCAGAGGTAAGTCCCACCCTTCTTACCATTTGCTTCGTGCCTTTTTGCCATGTTGTCGTTTAATTCAGGTATAGTCTATAGATAACATACTGAGAGGTGAAATCTATATTTCTTTTCCTTTGCATAAATTGATGATATCAGGTCAACCTCGAAGACATTTGCTTACGACAGGCTGGAGTACTTTTGTGACTTCCAAAAGATTAGTTGTAGGGGATGCTTTTGTTTTCCTGAGGTATTCGATACTTGATTTTTAATTGGTTTAGTTATGTGATTGCCAAGGAACTATAAGGTATTTTTATTCTAGGATTGCCAAAAGGTTTACAAAATAATAAGTTGAAATTTGTGGTTAGCTCTGTACTTATTCTATAGTTGATCCTTTAGCTATTGGTTGACTTTGTGTCATGCATTTTATATTTGTTTGAAAATTGAGTACGTTGTGATTTCTGAAATGGGTTTGATGGGTTTTGATTTCTGAAATTTGATTTCTATTGGGATTGATGGGTTTAATTCGCAGAAATTCGAAGTTAAATGGATTTATAATAATTTGATTTCTAATTTCTAATAATTGTTGTAAACGCAGAGAGATGGTGAAACTGTAAGTCTCTAACTTTAATTTGGTGTAAACTATATTAATTGTTTTGGTTGGAGTGGTTGTGATTTCTGAAATGGGTTTGATGGGTTTCGAATTCTAATAATTTGGAATGGATTTGATGGGTTTAGTTAAATTTGTATGAAACAATAATATCAGGAGTCAATAACTCAAAACACACCCACCCAAACAATTATTATTATTATTATTATTATTATTATTATTATTATTATTATGAATTAATTTGATTTATGTTGATTTATTATGGAATGGCTGAATAATTATTGCAAAAAGGGAGTTTCACCATCAACTGCAAAAGTTCATTTCAACCAAAAACTTTCAGTTTTAATAACCATCTGATAGGCTAGCTATTAAATTGTGTAATCATTAGGTTAGATGTGGAAATACTAATCATCAATGTAAAAGGTTTACATCTTGAAATAATAGTTATAAACTCTCTAGGTTAGATACATGTAAGACAGGTGTATTTTGCTGTGAAATGGTGGCAAACAAGGCTTGCGTAGGGCTCTGTTTTGTTTAATTTCTGTTTGGTTGGCGAGAATTTCTGTTTAATTTCTGTTTGGTTGGCAAAGAAAGGCTTTGTATTCACACTTTTCTTAACCTAAGGATGGTTTGAATCAGTAAAAATTGTGGATCTTGAATAAAAGTTGCATTCATCTTTGCTGGAATTCGGTTTTTAAATTCTTAAAAATCTAATCTGTGTTTTCATGACACACTTTTGAGCTGTCATTTGTCATATTTAGTAGGGCATTCATGGTTCTTTATTTTTGCCATAGGAAGTTACTGTGAAATGGGAATTTGGGTAATGTGGTGATGTAATTATGGTAATCTTGCTTGCATTTTAAGGTGTATTATTATTGGAAATGAATTCTGCATGTCATGGGGTTTGGGATGCTTATCGATGTACACATAAAGATTGTTGGAAATGAATTCTTGAATTTCTATGCTCTAAAACACTTTTATCGATGTACACATAAAGATTACCTTCCTTTTTGGGATGCTTGAAACACTTTTGATCATCACATGTATTTCTTTCCCCTGATGATTCATATTTCTCTGATAAATCAGCCAGTCTAGATTGTTGATAACTTGGCAGGCACAGACCTTGAAATGTCATAATGTTTCATCAAGAAACACAACATACTGGATGATAATATCATTTTAGGATCTAATTACGAAACACCTGAAAGGATATCTAACTAACATAATTGTTTTTTTTATAGCATTAATATCTATCTATTCTTATAAAAATGTTTTCTTTTTATTGGGACTGGATCATTGAGAACACTAAATGCAATTCTACACTCTTTTTTCATTGTCATCTTCAATGTTCTGTAAGAAGTTTATAAGTGTGATATACTTGATTTTTTTCCCATGCAGCAATGCTTGAAGTATCGAAAACCAAGGCTTTTTGTGAGTTCTTTACCTTTGTTTATCTCATTGAACTGTACTTATAAATTGGCACATACTATGTGATTACTTTCACCAAGAACAAGCTTTCTATTTTATGTGTAATTACTTTCACTAAGAACTGTACTATATAAATTGGCAATCAGGTTTGGTTTTTGGTTTAGTAATGAAATTTTACACTTACATACACTACTTTCTAAATTTCTTTAGTTTATATCAAGTAAAGCTTTTGGTGAAACATCATGAATAAGTATTTCCACATCTAACCTAGAGAGTTTATAACTATTATTTCAAGATGTATTCCTTTTACATTGATGATTAGTATTTCCACATCTAACCTGATGATTACACAATTTAATAGCTAGCCTATCAAATGGTTATTAAAACTGAAAGTTTTTGGTTGAAATGAACTTTTGCAGTTGACGGTGAAACTCCATTTCATCAAATCTAAATCAAATCAAGGGATTTGTAATAAAATTTCACCAAATATTCAACAGTCATAGTTTTAATGAAATTTCAAAAAGAGTAATTATTGGATATGCGTTTCTTTCATTAAAAATGGTTAAAACAGATCTTTAGGATAGGTTTGGATTTTTTTAGAAAGATTTGATGAAATAAAAGAGAGTAAGGTTTGAGTGTTCCATATTAGATCAAGCTTTTAACCAAAATTTTTCTAAAATTTGATGAAAAAAATAGACTAGGGTTGGAGATGCTCTTAGTATAGTGATCCTGCTCTTATTTGTATCTCAGTTAACCAAAATTTCTCTAAAATTTGATGAAAAAAAGAGACTAGGGTTGGAGATGCTCTTAGTATAGAGATTAGTATTTTCACATCTAACCTGATGATTACACAATTTATTTTTCTTTCTACAATCTTTGTTGGAGCTGAGTACGAGAAGATTTGGCAATATCAGGTATTTATCAGGTTACGGCTTCATGAGTTGTTTATCAGGTACGAAAATCATCATTAATTGTTTTGTTTTTGGTTCTTTTGTTGATGAATTTTCAGTGTGTTGAAATTTTAGAATTGTAATGGATGATTTTCAAGAGTATTAGGTGTTCATTACAATTTTTACTTAATCTATTCAGCCACTCTTGGGATACTCTTGGGATGATTGGGATGATTAGGTGTTCATGATTAGGTGTTCATGATACTTAATAGAATTGTAATACTCTTGGGATTTCAAGAGTATTAGGTGTTCATGATTTTCAATATTATTTTCAACATTACAATTTTGAAAATACTCTTGGGATTAGGTGTTCATCAATCAACCATTACAATTTTTTTTTCAACATTCTTTCATCCGTTCATCTGTTTTTTTGGGGTTCTAATTTTTAAGTTGTTGCTTACAACTTTGCCTTTTTGTTATTGTTTTATTGGGTGTTTTTAGATTTTACATTGTGTTCTCTCCTTGCAATATTTGTTCCATAAATGAAAAATTTGTGTTTGGTAATAGTACTTTTATTTTTGAAAGAGTTAATTACTCAAACCGAATATGTGTTTCCAATGTGGCAGTAATTCAGGTAGTTTGTAGTTTATTTAGAATTCTTGGGGTTTGTTTAGAATTTCATGGGGCATTCTTCAATTTTTTTTTTGAAAAGTTGTATTTGTTGAATCGAATTGAAGCAGGATTGTATAATTTTCAGGTTTGTATTTGTGAATGTGCAATTTATGGGTTTTTGACTGTTTATTCAATGTTTTGAGAGATGTGAGGTTTGTGAGATTTTGTTGGTTTATTATTGAGTCTTTGTTTTTTGGGTTTGAAACTAATCATTGTAAATCTGTGATGTGTTGTGAAGACATACATGTTCAAGTACGACAGTGTTCATGGACAATGGAAGCATCATGATGTCAAGGTCAAGGACTCAAAAACACCTTCTTTTTGGCGAAAAACAAGTCGTTGTTTTCGGAGTCAGGTAATTATGCCCTTTATTCTCTCAATTCCGTTGCAATTTTTTTGAATCAGAGTATATTTAAATGAAAAGTTTTAATTTTTTTTTTTTGTTTATTTTTAGGAACCCTGATGAAATTCCATAGGGCGAAACCGGAGCCGATTTCGTTGTGGAGTCTACTGAAGTTTTCACTGATAAGGAGAAGGCTGCTGCCCACTTGAAGGTTTGATTTAATTTCCTATTTGTTTTTTTTGTTTTTTTAAATATTTTTTTGTTCTGATGAAATGTTTTTTGATATGTATAATTGGGTTGATTTAGTTGTCTGCATCATTGGTCTGTGATCAAAGTTTGAATCGAATATAACACTATTGTCTCTGTCATTGTTGTTGATTTTTATGCATCGGTTAGATTTTATAAATGTGTTGATTTGGTTGTCTGCATTCAAAGATTAGTGATCAAAGTTTGAATTGAATATAACACTATTCTCTATCATTGTTATCGGGTTGATTTAGTTGTCTGCGTACAATGATCATTGAAGTTTGAGTTGAATGTAACAATATCTCTATCATCGCTGTTGATTGCTTAGTTAGGTTGAAGTTTGAGTTTGCTTTGAAATCCTTGACTTGGGTTCATTTCTGTTTATCATCATTTCTGGTTTCATCTTTGGGATTCTTTATAAATCTGCTGATCAACATTTGAGTCTTAGATCACAGTTTTTGAGTCTTTCTCATTACTCAAATTTTAAAATCACTAAATGATTCGCCTAATGATCATTGTTCGAGTTATTTTTGAAAACAGGTTCAAGAACCAAACTGTTATTTTTAAAATCACTAAATGATTCCCAGATGATCCTCTTCACAGGTTCAAGAACCAAACATGCTGTAAAAAATTGCTTCAGTTGACCGGAATGACCTTCTGAGTTCCAACTGTGGATGTTTCAGTTGTGAACCTCACTGCGAGGCTTGAGAAGGCAGCTACATACCAGCAAATCAAAGATGCTATCAAGTGAGTATTCAGATTTCCTTCATTCCTTCAAATTCACCTCATTATGTAGTATATTAGATTGGCAAATTGAGATTTGCATAATTGTATCAAATTTCTTTGGCTGCCAACTCTTGATTAGCATGTGACGAGGTCTTTTATTCTTTCTTGGTTAATTTCTGAGAGAAATCTGAAGGCAAACTCAAGGGTATTTTGGGGTTCATCGAAGATGATGTGGTCTCCACTGACTTCATAGGGGACAACAGGTAGATTGTTATACTATTTACCATCTTAATACTCTAGCTGATTGTGTTACTTAACAGTTAAATGCAGTGAATTTGAAATATAAAACAAAAAACAGAAAATATGTAGGTCAACTGGGCTTCTATTTTCAATGGAAGAAGATGACAAATGGGCTTATGTTCCTTTCTTAGGTGGAATCTTACTTAAACCTTTATTAGTCAACTGGCAGTGCCATTTCACACCTATTTTTTTTTTTGTTAATAGTAAAACCAATACAGACCAGTGCAATGTAGGAATGGCAACAAAATATGTAGGTCCTCTACTTTTAATTTTACTAAAGTATTTGCACTTGGGTCTTTTTATAATCCACAATAGGCCAGTGTATTGAGTTTTCTATTTGTACTTGAGTACCGACATTATGTTTTGTTCCTTTCTTGACTTGGGTTCATTTCTTTCAATTATGAAAACTTTAGTTAGGCCTGTTTCTGTTTTCATTTATGTCACATTAATTTAAACTTTAGTTAGGAAAATTATCCAGTTTTATGTCACATTTCTGGGTATTTTTCCAAAAATGAAAAACAGATGACAGAAAATGAAAACATTCGAGTATTCATATGTATATATAATCATAAATATTAAAATTATGGCCATTTTTAGAATTTTTCATTGTCTTCGCTTTTCAAAAAAACTAAAAACAGAAGCACAACTAAACGGCTAGGAAAATTATTTGTTCTATGTCACATATCGGGGTCATTTACTATCCCAAAAAAATATATAGCAAAGAAGAAAATATATATCTTTTCCCCAGATCTCATGTCGATTTTATCTTTAAATAGTGTTGGGAATAAATTTAAATTTAAATAGCGTTGGGATTAAATTTAAACAGTGTTGGGATTAAATTTAAATTTAAATAGTGTTGGGATTAAATCTAAATGTAAATAGTGTTGGGATTAAATTTAAATTTAAAGTGTTGGGAATAAATTTAAATTTAAATAGTGTTGGGATTAAATTTAAATTTAAATAGTGTTGGGATTAAAAAATAAATTTAAATTTAAATGGTGTTGGAATTAAATTTAAATTTAAATAGTGTTGGGGTTAAATTTAAATAGTGTTGGGATTAAATTTATAATAAAATTAAATAGTGTTGGGATTAAATTTAATTTTATCAAATTAAAAAATAAATTTAAATAGTGTTGGGATTAAATTTATAATAAATTTAAATAGTATTGGGATTAAAAAATAAATTTAGATAGTGTTGGGATTAAATTTTATATTAAATCTGTAATTTTATCAAATTAAAAAATAAATTAAAATAGTGTTGGGATTACTTGAAGAACCACCTGATCAGCAGAATACAATGGAGGTGGTTTCGACCACTCGGCTGTGGTTGAGATTGATGAAATTAATTCTTATCTCGGATAGATATTGAATTTAATATATAAAAAAAACATATAATCGACTCAATCAACTTATTCATATGCGTACAACTTGAAACATGTGTGTTTATTTTCTAAATTAATAACTTGAATTCAGCTTTAAACAATTGTTGCTAAAGGGCTTTAAACAATTGTCGTAGAGTATAGTCTGTTAAATATATTTTTATAACTGCATTTTAATCTTAATATTATTTACACCGTGCCTTTAGGTACGGGCATACGCTAGTATATATATATAGATAGAGAGAAAGTAATATTATATATTATTTTGTAATTCAAATTTATTTTATATACATATCTCAAATTATATAAATTCAATCATAATTACATAATAATAAATTAAGATAAATAAAAGTGGGTATTTAGTCAGAAATAATACAGATCTCTACAAAAATCTCACTCCTACGACTCCACGCACACGTATCAGGGAAATAGGAAAAATATAAATAAATAAAAAAGCAAAAACATACATAATCAATCACAATGGTCATGAGAGTTTTTCAAAATGGAAGTCCAAGTATTTTCTTTAGAATTATTCTTATATATATCGTCATATCCAAACGTCACGAAACAGAGTACAGGTGGCGCGTCCGGGGACATGGATGATTGGATTGGATGGAAGGAAAGTAACGCAAAGGGTCCGGAAGAGATAGCGTGTGAGAGGAAAAGGAGGCCTCAACGTGGACGTGGCCATTACATGAGCACAATCTGTTTATTTTTTTAATGGTGAGCTCATTCTATTTATTTTTTTTAATGGGAGTGAGGAATAGGGGTTATAATGAGTTGAATAGTTAATTATTTAAGTTTAATTTAATAATTTTAAGGAGTTTTAAAATTTATTTAAATTTGATTTGTTAAATTTTTGAGTTGATCTCAAACGAATTTTTATAGAATCGAATTCAAGTAGTTTGATATTTTATATAATTTTAAGTTTATTGAATCGAGTCAAACGAGCAATTAGCTGTTCAAATTTAGTTTGAAAACCTTAACGAGTTCTAAAATGTGTTTAAGTTTAATTTGTTTATTTAACGAATCAAGTTCAAACAAGTTTAACAAACCATATACGAGTTGAGCTTGAATTGTTTGGTTCGTTTATCACCCTAGTGATGAGAAAATTATATTGAAATAACAGTTGAAATCTGAGAACGTAGTTATTATAATTAGAAGATAAATAACCAAAATAAAATTTAAAAAAATGTTGGAGGGTGAAAAATATATGACTTTTAAAAATTTAAGAGATAAATTTCCGTAAAACAGTTCAAATCATTGCACTTATGACATGAAATTTTAAAAATATAAAAGATTTTAGAGCTTTACATCCTCGCTAGATAGGAGAGAGAGAACATTTTTGTTGCATCCGTAAAGATAATTATATTTAGATCCAACAATTATATAATCCCAAAAGAAAAAAGAGAAGTTTAGCTATAGAAGAATATTTCACATAGAGAGAGAATTAGTGTCCAATAAAAACTATAGAACCTAACAAAACTAAATGTGCTGCATTAATAATTTTCAGGTTAGTCTAACAACTCCGATACTAGAGGGAAAATAAACAACACAACAAAATTCAACTAAGAATTTCATAATAAAAGAGAGATTATAAATTTTAAGCTTTAACAAATATTAACCTATCATCACATCCTAAATAGAAAAGTATATGGTCAGCCAACTAGATTCCCCACTAGTAGCGCATCAAATTGCCCAGATCGACTTAATTCTACAAGGCCCCATGTTTTCAGCTATCAAATCTTAGGCCTGTTTAATTCCTGGACAAGCCCAAGTACGACTCCGACTTTTTCTTTTTTGGGGACAAATATAGAACAAAAGGACTTCTTTTGGTAATTCGACAATTACTCTCTCTCTCTCTCTCTCTCTCTCTCACTCACTGTGTGCAGCAGCAGCAGCTGCTAGAGGAGGAAATACGACTCCAACTTTTTCTTTTTTGGGTACAAATTGAGTTACCATCTTTGCTCCAACAAACCAAAAAAACAAAAAAACCAAAAGAGTTACCATCACAATATCATATTGGACCATCCCAGGCCCGTGCATGCCACTGAGCTATGTCCAAACAAGGCAACCAAAAAACGTAAAAGTTATTGGGCTATCTCACCACCACCACCATGGTCTTTTATTTCCACACGAGTCCCCTACTCTGTCCATTCATATGTCCAGTGAGATTACAGGATTTTCCTCTACTATTCTCCTCTTCTTCTTTTTTTTTCTTTTTTTCTTTTTTTCCAAGTCAAAAAAATGGGACAAGCAAGCTATGAGATAACATATACTTTCACAAAATAGAATCAAGTAGCTGCAAGATAATATGTTTTGAATTTATTTACTTTATATATATATATATATATATACATAGGATTTCATATATAATTAACACACTAAGTAACGAGCATATATGTCTAAAATTTTAGAAATATCATACCGTCTTCTAGATGATAGTGCATCCATTATTTTCTTTTGGATATGTGAGCTTATAATAATGTTATGATAATCATATTTATATACTAAAATTCGAAATATATATACCATCTTTGGATGTGTAACATGTATAGTTAAAGAGATAACACAAAAGCAGTTAATGGGTCTTGTATAATAGTGATGGCAGGAAGTAACTGCAGAGCTGCTTTAGCTATCACACTAGAAACACTCACACGGATACACGCACACATGCAAAACAATTAGAAAGAGAGCAATGCTACTACAGAATCACAGCTCTATATCTACTGCATTAATAACTTTCGGATTAATTTTGTTCTTCACTCATTATGTGGGAAACTAGAGTTGATACTGAAGAAGGTTAGTCAAGAACAATGAACAATAATGTAAATCGTATGAAGCTTCTTATTCCAGCCAAAAGGACGGAAGAACAGTGATCATATATAATTTTTTGATCAGCAAAGAAAATTTCATTACAAACATGAAATTAAAGGTATAAAAAGATAACAAGCATGGAGAGAGATTCGAAAAAGTACAAACTATCCCTACTATTGCTACTCGCAACCATCTAACCAACCTCTCGACCTCACAATTTTTATAAAATAAAAGATAAATAAATAAACAAAAATAAAAAGAGTTAAGAAGAACTTAACTCCAACATATCAAACCCTAGATCCCCTTTCACACCAAACCACACCCCACAAACAATGATAATTCAACAACTATTTCCCAATCAGGACAAACACCATCCACTGCTTACCAGCACAACCCATCAACCCTCTAATAAATTATTCCCCCTTTCAAACCAAAACACACCACTAATTCACACCCAGGGCAAAACACCATCCCCCACTTTCCATCACATCCCATAACCCTTCTAAAACTTAATTACTTGCAAGTAGCACCCCACTAACTCCCTCCTCTCTAACTCTATCAAGTTTTCATTCTGATTTTGGCTTTGTTGCTCATCTCCAACTCGATAAAATCCTTCAGGAAGATGTCCTCTCTACCACCAAAATCAATCTGCAATTTATGGCCCATTTGCAAGGTTTCTTTTGCTTCAGCCAAAAGGAGTCTATACTCCTCTTCCTCATCTTCATCTTGCTGTTTCATCTCCCCATCAGATTCCACCAACTTGTTCAAGAAGCGCTTGTTGCATACCCGAATTGTACTAGAAGAGATTGATGATTGCGAAGGTTGCGAAGATCGGACAAGTTTGGCATCCTTTGATTTTTTGTTGGAACCTTTGGCATATCTCCCTTTATTCAAGAATTTGTGGGGAAGCTCCAACTCAAGAAGTGAGAGTTTCTTTCTTCTATTGGTGGATTTGTGTATCCTCATAGGACTATACACACACATTAAAGAGTAATGCTACGTATCATGAAATAAATATCATGAAAAACTTCATGAAAC